TGTATCCATTTCAATTGCGCCAATTACATATATATATATATATATATTGCATACATATTCACATACTGCCTTTGAAGTGAAGGATACAGTGGGACAAGAGGTAGAAGTACGCGTTTTGTGTCTGAATAATTTTGCGAGTACTATTTTCGATTTGTATTTTTTTTCGTAAATTTTCAAAAAATCCAAGCGTGATTTACAGGCTTAGGAGCCTATCGTAATACATACGATATTTTTCGCAAATTTAATTTTCGCCAATTTGCTACTGCAAATTGAAAAAATTATACAACCGTTGCGATTTCTTGGTGTTCGGCAATTGGCTTTCGATCTCGTTTTTCGTTGGTTCTGGTCAAGTTTCATCAAAAATTTTGTTTTCGTTTTAGTTTCCTAAAAAACTTCCAGAACTATTTTTCGAGCACAAAATTACTGTACATAAAAGCAAAAGTTATACTTTTGTTCGCAACCAAGACATCGGAACTCTAGTTAAAAATGAGCCAAGTAGAAGAATTGAAGGTATTTAAAAAGCAACGGTCAGTTCTGAAAAGAAACATAGTACGTATAAGAACAGGCCTTATCGAAAAAACCATGTCGTTAGACCCCATCGAATTAGAATGTAGACTTGAAATTTTAAATTCACACAGCGAAAAGCTAATGACGTGTCAATCAAGAATAGAAGAAATTGATGAGGAAGATTTGGCCCGTGGAGAATTGGAGGACATAGTTGTAGAAACGAAGTCCATGATTAAGTCCATTCTCGCAAAAAATAAATCTTCTGTTGCCGAGTCGTCATTTATTGCACCTCACAGCTCGCGACTCCCTAAGATGTCGCTGCCCAAATTTAAAGGGGAATATTCTGAATTTAAGAATTTCATGAGCTTGTTCGAGAGTTTAGTGCACAACGATCCTACGATCCCGGATATCGAAAAATTTAATCATTTAGTGTCGTGTTTATCCGGTGAAGCATTGGGCACAGTGAAGTCCTTCCAAATGTCGGAAGAGAACTACCCAAAGGCGTTGGCCAGTTTGAAGAGAGTATATGACAATAAATGTCTAATATTTTTCAATACAGTTTCTAGACTCTTTGATCTCACTAAAATTCAAAAACCTTCTGCTTCATCTTTGCGATTGATAATCGACACAGTGTCCGCGGTGTATGACTCGCTTTTGTCTCTGGGTGATGACAAGCATATTTCAAATGCGATGTTAATTCACATAGTCATGTCCAAGGTTGATCCCACTACTCGGTCAAAGTGGGAGGAGCAGCTGGACTATGATAAATTGCCGCTTTGGGCTGAGTGTGAAGCTATGCTCAATAAGAGGTACCAGCATCTTTCTGCTGAAGAAGCTTCCTCATCCCAGACAAAAATTAATAATTCAGACACTCGACAGAAGACAAGGAATCAACAATTCGAAAGATCGAAGGCAGCATTTATCGCAACAAACTCTAAAGAGACAACTTGCCTGCACTGTGGTTCAAAGGACCATTCCATTACATCTTGCCCAAAATTCCAAACGTTGACTGCTCTTCAGAGATTCGAATACGCGAAATCGGTTTCCTTGTGCATAAATTGCTTGCGCAAGGGACATACCGTCTCAAGGTGCAAATCAGATCGCTGTCGCGTGTGCAATCGGTCACACCATACTATGCTGCACCAATACCCGATCTCTTTTGAGACTGAGCGTCAACCTCCGACGACACAGGCGATGCATACTAGCAGTGTGCCAGATCGCGTCATGCTAGCCACAGCCGTAGTGTACGTAAAGTGCTGCTCCGGTAGTTATGTGTCAGCTCGCGCTCTGCTTGACTCTGGGTCCCAAGTCAATTTTATGACCGAGGAGCTGGCACAAAAATTGCGAATACGAAGAGAGAAGTCGACTCTGAATGTAATTGGAATTGGCAATTCGAATAAAAAGGTCCAAGGCAAATTAAATGCTTTCGTAAAATCGAGGGTCAATGATTTTGAATTTTCAACAGATTTTTGGGTAATGGGTTCGATATCAGCCAATCACCCAGATCACACAGTGAACACAAATGGCTGGAAAATCCCACAAAATCTCGAATTGGCTGACCCAAACTTCTTCAAGTGTCAAAAAATCGACATATTATTGGGAGCTGAGACATTCTTTGATCTGTTATCGGTGGGTCAGATCAAAACCAGTCCAAGGCAGCCAACGCTGCAAAAAACATTATTAGGCTGGATAATATCGGGCAAATATGCCTCAAGTCAAAGCTCCAGTGGACAAGTAAGTAGCACATTATGTAAAGCCGAAGAGAATATGGAAAACATCGATGCCACCGTCCAGAAATTTTGGGCGCTGGAAGAACTACCCTCGGAGGCAAACGTCAAAAGACTAACTCCTGAACAAGCTGAATGCGAGCAGGTATTTTCGAAAACCACGGTTGTTTTGCCAGATGGAAGGCTTCAAGTCAGATTGCCTTTTAAGAATGATCGTAAGTTACTCGGTCATTCGTATGAAACCGCAGCTCGGCGGTTTCAGGCGCTGGAGAGAAGGACTCTGAAAGATCCAGAACTTCGCAAAATGTATCTGGACTTCATGAAAGAGTACCTAGAATTGGGCCATATGAGCCCCACAAACAACAGAATCCCGAGTGAGCCGCATTATTTCATTCCGCATCAGTGTGTGTTAAGACCGCAAAGCACGACTACAAAGTTGCGCGTAGTTTTTGACGCTTCAAGCCGTACATCCACACAAGTTGCGTTGAATGACATCTTAATGGTCGGACCGACCGTTCAAGAAGAGCTTTTTTCGACACTCCTCCGCTTCCGATTGCACAAATATGCCATTACTGCCGACGTCACAAAGATGTATCGACAGATTTCAGTGCACGAAGATGATAGGAACTTTCAGCTCATAGTGTGGAGACCAGATCCATCAGAGCATTTGCAAGTCTTTCGTTTAAATACCGTGACTTAAGGCACTGCGCCTGCACCATTTCTCGCTACACGGTGTCTTCAAATGCTAAGCGACATGAACCTATCGAAATATCCACTCGGTGCCAAAGTCATTCGAAATGATTTTTATGTCGACGACCTGCTGACAGGATCCGACGATTTGAAATCCCTCATTCAAATTCAAACTGAGGTGACTAAAATTCTAGAATCGGCAGGCCTCAAACTAGCAGTGGTTTTCCAATCACCCTAACCGGTCGAACAGCGAGAGTCATAAGAAGTTATTGCAACTCAGCGACACAGACTCTACAAAAACGCTGGGAATTCACTGGCAGCCGAAAGATGACATTTTTCGCTTCATTCTGGAGGACAACTTTAGTGAACTGCAAGCAACCAAACGAAACATTTTATCGGTCTCTGCTCGCCTCTTTGACCCTCTTGGTTTATTAGCCCCACTAGTTACCAAGGCCAAAATCTTACTGCAAGAGCTTTGGATTCAAAAGCTAGATTGGGATGAGTCGATTCCATTGCGCCTCGACACTAGCTGGCAAAACTTTAAAGTAAACTTACTGCAGCTTCCATCAATCAGCATTCCCCGGTATGTAAATACTGGGTCGACTGCCAGCTGCCAAGTTCATGGATTTTCCGACGCCTCAATAAGAGCGTACGGCTGCTGCGTATATATTCGTAGCCAAACCGCTAGTGGTACGAGATGTACGCTACTTACTGCAAAGTCTAGAGTAGCTCCGCTGAAGACTAAATCTCTTCCGCGTTTAGAGCTCTCGGCAGCACATCTTCTGGCCAAATTATGGTCAAGAATTTCGCCAATGTTGAGTCGACCGATAGAAAAGGTCAATTTCTGGACAGATTCCGAAATAGTTTTGCACTGGATCAAAACGCATCCATCTGCGCTGCAAACTTTCGTCGCAAACAGAGTGTCCGAAATCCAAGAGTGGACCCAGAATGCATCATGGCGACATGTGCCAACAAAACAAAACCCAGCGGATCAAGTGTCTCGGGGTTGTAACGTGGACGAATTAAATACATCAATCTGGTTTTCCGGTCCGCAGTTCCTCCAAGAAGACCCTGCTTTATGGCCACAAAATGTCAATTTTAACCTCTCTCCAGAGCAGCAAGCACTTGAAAAGAAAAAGAACGCAATTACGTTAAGTGCAGTTGAGGCCACAACAAATACACTTCTAGATTTAATTGAAAGAGTCTCATCCCACATGAAAGTGCTACGAATATTCGCTTACGTACTAAGATGGCCTCGAAAAACTAGAGATCGAAAGTTAGAATTTGAAGTTGTACCCACAGCAAAGGAATTACAGCTTAGTTTCCTTAAAATTGTCGAAATAGTTCAACATTCTAAATATAGTGAAGATATTAACAAATTATCGAAAAATATCGCACTTCCTTCTAGCTTGCAGAAATTATCTCCCGTTCTGCATGAATACTCTGAATCATCATTATCGTTTAAACTAATTCGAGTAGGTGGCCGTTTACTGAGTGCTCAACTCGCGCCCACTCGCACCGCTCAGCAGCAACCCCAACGACGGCGAAGCGCTAACTCCCGCGCATCTACTAATCGGATGCCCCTTGCGAGCTTTGCCACCGGAGAAAGTGCCCGACAGTCCCAGCCGCTGCTTAGACAGATGGCAGCTTGTTTGCTTTCACAAGCAGCAGTTTTGGCGCGCGTGGTCGAAGAGCTACCTGTTGGAGCTCCAGCAGCGCAACAAGTGGGCCCAACCGCAGCCCAACGTCGAGCCAGGCCAACTCGTCGTCGTCCACGAGGACAACGTTCCACCGCAACAGTGGGTGCTAGGCAGAGTCACCAAAACAACTACGGGGGCAGATGGCAAGGTGCGCGTCGCAGACGTCACAACTAAGTCTGGAGTCATACGACGGCCTATCCACAAACTAGCCGTGCTACCTATGCCGAATGATTGAAGGACTAGATCCCTTCAAGGTGGCCGGTGTCGAAGCAGAACTATATACATACATTAGCTATATAAACAAAATAAAAATTGAAATATGAATTGTATTTGAATAGAAACACACATGTACATATATATATATATATTCTATTTAATTTCGTATTTATGCAAACAGTTACATATATACTTACTTTCGCTCTACTTACCTTTCTCGCTTTTACTTTCGTATTTACTATCTCTTACACTTGTACATACTTACCTCTGTATATTTACTGCCACTACATACTTATCATCTTATGTACTTACCTATGTATACTTACCCCTTCTTACTCTCTCATGTTTCCCCGTTTCTTCTCCTGCTTAATACTTCTAAGTTAAGCCGTTAGGTTAGGCAGTAGGTTAAGAATATGAAATGAAGAATTGTAATAAACACTCGAATTGTAATATCGGAACCGTGCGGTCATTATTTGTCCTCCCAGGCAACTAAATCGGAAATAATTTGGTAGTGTTTCGCGCTCCTCTAACAGTGACAAGAACTGATAAAAAAAGGTACAAACCAACTTAACACAAAATAGTGTTGAATTTTTCAGTCGAGAAATAGGTGGTGAGTGACGATCCTTTTCTCGCGGGTCTTTTCCAAGATTTCATTGACGGTGGGCTTCAGTCTTTCACACAATACGCTCGATAAGACCTTGTAACCTATGCTTAGAAGGCTGATCCCGCGGTAGTTGGCGCGAATGGCGGGGCCACCTTTCTTGTGGATTGGGCAGAGCACACTTAAATTCCAGTCGTCGGGCATGCGTTCATCTGACCATATTCTGCAACTCCTCGCCGCCGTACTTGAATAGCTCAGCTGGCAGGCTGTCAGCTCCAGCGGCTTT